GGCTCCGGTCCCGGCGGGGAGGAGGAGGAGGAGGAGGAGGGAGGAGGGGGGAGCCGGTGTCCGCCTCCTCTGCGGGAAAACGGGGCCCGGGGATGAGCTCCTGAAGCCTGCAGCATCCTCCCGTGAGTACCGGGCGGGTAAAAGCTTGGGTACGCGTCGATATTCTGAATGGATGTAAATTTAACTTTTCTGCTCTAAAGCTCTAAGCTACTTCCCGCTGCCGGTGAAACGGCTGTAAATGGTCGTTTCAGTGGGGTTACTCCGGGTTTACGTGCAAGTGAGTGTGTTCCCCACAGTAAATGCCTCTATGGGCAGCAAAGCTCTTTATCGGTAACTCGAAACCAGAAAGAAACGCAGAGCAGATGTCCTCGCACGATTTTCTGCTAAACTGGTGCTTTAGCAGTTGTTTCATTAATTGGAAACCTTTAAGGTACAGGGACTGGAACTGATCTGGCAAGTTGTTTCCTCCCCTGAGAAAAGCTTGCCCGTCTGTTGAGGGATTCTTCTCTCGCTATAGCAGTGTCCTTTCATCGCTCGGGATACGCTCAATCTCTTGTCCTGACTTACTCAACCACAGCGCTATCAATAAGGTTTTGTTGGTGGTTTGGGGTTTTTTTTGTTGTTTTTTAAATCTGCTGAGCCGAGCGCTAGAAAGGGCTGGCAGACTAATATTTAACATGAAAAGAACTAGAAAGCTTGGAGAGCCTTGTGTTACAGTTCGCTGAGTGTCTCCAGCACAGAAACAAAACTACACTGCTTTCATTATTTTGGGAACATGCTGATGTTGCTGACAGGTTTGAACTGCGATTTCTGGTTTTTCGTGGTAATTAATGTACTTAATGCCCCAGGAAGTCCTTGCTAAAGGAAGCATAGTATTTTGTAAACAAATTTCACTAATGTGATAGGTGGTGCTGGCTGGAGTGTTTGGGCAGGAGGGTTTGATGTGGAGATTAGGAACCAAGACAAAGTCAGTGGGGTAATCGGTGTGACTTCGTGGCCCTGTAAAAAAAAACCATGGTCTTGCTGTGTGGACAGGGTTGTGGATGCCAGGTTTAGACACGGAGGGTTTGCCAAGAACTTTGAACGGTTCTGATGGAGGATGGGGTGTAAGTGTGAAGGATTGTGCTGCCTACGGGTTTGTCTGCAGCGTTCTTGGAAGAGGGGGATGTGCCTCATCGATTCCACAAGTTTGCATATGCAGTACTTGAAGAAATCTTTGCAACTGCTTTTATCCAGCTGTTGGCAAAGCGGAGTTGCATTTCTGTATTGCATACGGAATTCGCTCTCTGGTTTTTAATACAGGAAAAAAAGGAGGATATGAATCTTGCAGAGGTTCTTACAACAGTGTTGAGCTTTGCATTTTTCTGGTAGAGGAACAGTTTCAGTTGCAGAAGATCCAGCCCAGTAGCTGGGGAGCATGTTGTACTACATGCTGAGCTGCAGGCAGGGGACAACAGTCCTAAAACTCCAATCCATGACTGGCAGTAGACTTGGCTCCCTTGCTGGCAGTAATTCATGAAGGTTTCCTGTCCAGCCCTGCTCCTATCTGTCCCCTGCTACTGCAAGCATGACTTTTATTACTTGCACTAAATTCTTCTCCTCACTTATGGCAATAAACAGTGAATCAGTCAGGATTTAGTGCACAAAGGAGCTGGAGAAGCCTGTGAGTGATGCCCCAGATGCCTACAGTGGTCTTGGATCAGCAGCTGCTGCGCTCATGGGGTAAATCCATCAGTGCTGAGCGCCCTGCGGGGTGCTGGCATCTGCCCAAAGCAGCCCCTGCTCCCTGGGGTGCTGTCTCACATGCTGGGTTCTCATGCCCTTGTGCCAGGCTGGGATCAGCGGCGCTGAAGAGCAGCTATGTTGGGAGGGGGTTTGGTCGGGGCTGGCGAGTGAGCCTTGACCTGGCCTATTGTTGGGCATGTGGGAGAGGAAAAAAATGTGGCGGGGATGACTGTGCCGCTTTTATTGAGAGTCACAGAAATCAGGAAATGCAGCCAGAACCTATAGTGTTCGTTAGGCCTCTTGGAGAGATGATATAAGGCATGAATGGAGATCACAGAGGAGGAAGGCAAGAAAAAAAGCTGCTGGGATGTCTGAGTCATCCAGTTTCCCACTGACACACATAGTTTAATGTTTTCACAGCCACCTCCATGGAGCAACAAAGTTATAACCTAATTCCAGGGGCCCTGGAGTCATGGTGCTTCCTCATCGTCGGCTGCTCAGGGCCAGTTACCAGTTGGGGATCCCCCTGCCCAGATACGAGGTTGATGGGGCAGTTACCTCAAGTGCTGGGCAGATGGGCAGAGGAGAGAGGGGCTCTGCCCTTCATCGCATCCTCCCATTTGGATGGAGACAACCCCCTGGACCAAACACACACCTAAATTCATCCCATGTAACGACAGCACTTAACCACTCAGCTGTGGGCTTGCAGAGAAGGTGCTTTTTGGTGGGATTTGGAGTGCTCAGGCTGAGGAGAGGGTACATGAGCCCGTGGATTATCCCAGCAGCACTGGGGGATGTGGGCAGCCCATCATCTGCTGTGCTGATCCAGAGCGCCGCACCCTTGTGTTCTGTGCTTCTGCTGGGGGCAGAGGAGAAACCCAAATAATTAACTTGGAAAGACAAAGTTTCCTATTTACTTATTAGTCTGTAATGGAAGCCTCAAAACTCTTAACCTAGCAAATGTATTTGTCTTTAGAAAAGAAAAACGAGCATCTGTCTGCCAGCAAACAGGAGCTGTGTTGATTCACACGCTACGGTTTGTGCTGATAAATATGGAGAGCTGTTCTCTGACGTGAAAGGCAGCTCAGGGTGTGAACTCAAGCCAGCCCACTGTGGGTTGTGGTGTGAGCTCTGTCCCATGGGAATCTCGGTGTCAGGTAAATCCAGAAGTAGCTGTCGCCATCTCCCCGGCTCCGAGAGGGGTGCCTGAAGGCACTTCTGGGATCGCCTTCCTCCTGGGGTTTGTGGCTGGCACCTACATGCCATTGGATAAGTGACTTGCCCACAGGCAACGAAGAGTTCAGAGAACAGAAGGGACTGGCCCGGGAGGTGTGTGATGGTAGCTGGAACTGGAAGAAGTGGTTTTCTGGTCTGGGAAGCCAGTTCTAGTTTAAGCAAATCATTCACAAACGACACTGGACTCCAGCTGTGGTTTGGCTTGGCTGGGAAGGAAGGTGGAGGGTAGGCTATAGATTTCAATGCATTTGGCTTGTATGTCTCCTTTTTTTTTGATTGTTATTGTCCTTATGAGTCTTAATTTGCTCCAGGTAACTCCTTTTTCCTTCTCTTGTCACAAGTGGCTGACAGTATTTTAGCAGTTCTTTGTTTTGTAAGGCAAGTTTCCTTTATATCTAGGCAAAATACAAGATGTTTTTGCTGGGTTTCCCCTCTTCTCTTTGGGCTGTGCTCTTCACGAGAGGTCACTGACACCCAGGTGTATACAATATGGTTATACAAATAAGTTTTGGTGTCTAAAAAAACTAATTCTTGTCATTTGTTGTCAGAACCACCACAGAAAGCTGCTTGGCTGCACACATGTAACTTGGGCAACCCTTTACAGGGACGGGGTGTGAGCTGGCCAGACAGGACATAAAAACTCCCTGAACTCTGTGAAACTTTGGAATTAGATCTGATTCATGATCTGCAATGCCACAGTAGGAGCCCAGATCTGCCCAGTGCTACTGATGTTAATTCATTTCATGCTGCTCTCCAGCTGGATACGACACTTTGACATTGTTTTTGTGGTTTCTAGCGGTCCTGTTCCAGTAACACAAAATGGGCCGTCGAGTTCCTCTTCTCTTGAATTGCCTGTGAGAACTGGGCTGTGTCGTATCTGGCCTGCAGTGCTTTGCAGTGGCAAGTAAATGAGAGCCAGGCAACGTGGCTGGGGGAGCCGGGTCCCCAGGGGAGGGGACGGGCTTCCCACTGCAGGCAGGGCACTGCCAGGGCTGGTGGGGGATGCTGAGCTCTCAGCCCTGCTTGGGGAGAAAACTCTTGAACTGCTCTGTGAGAATGTCTGAACACGTTTCTCCCTTCCTATGAGCCTTCTCTCCAGGCTTATTTCATGTCTCCGTCAGAGGGAAGGTATTTCAGCGTGTTTGTTAAATGCCTGTCTGCCCTGCTCTCAGTCTCTGGCTAAGAGGAGGCTATGTCGGACTCCATCTGCTCAGCAAACAAGCAGCACATCTCCATCCTCTGCCCTGTTTTAAAAAGGGTGTTGAAATCTGCCTCTGCTGCCTAGCCTCTGTAAAAGAAAATGGCAGAAGCTTTCTGTCCCGAAGGTGCTGGCAGTGCTGCCTGGCTGAGCATCCGCCGGGCCCCAGCTCGCGGAGGCAGAGGCTGCACTGTTCCACTTGTTCCCAGGATTTCCAAGCCGGTCCTCGCACCGTTCTGGCTCCTCTCGCCTGCCATTTCCTCCCGTCTCTGGGTTCTCCAGATTCCTGCAGGCTGTGTAAGGGCCTCCCGCATGTTCCTGTTCTGCCTGGTCACACTGTGAACAAGCGCCAAGCCTGGCTCCAGATACCGAGCAGTGACAAGGCTCCTGACATCTGGACCATGTCCCCGGCTTGATGGAGGCTCCAGCTTGTAGGAGAGCGTAGCTGCAATATCTATTTTTTTGACACGTTTCAATGAGCAAAGAGAAATGTTTTGTCTCCCAGAGCAGTTCAGCTGGCCGGAGCGGTGGTGTTTCAGAGGTCTGAGATCACAGTGAGATGGGTTTATCCAGCTCTGAACTAACAGAGCAATGCTGCTCTGCTTTCTATTGCTGGTTCCTTTTTTTTCTTTCCCAAGCAGTCTTTGCCTTGTCTTTGCTGAGGAGATCTGGAGCTACAGGGAGCTTGCAGAAAAGCACTGCAGAGCAGGAATGCAGATTCAGACCAATTCAGTTAGATCCCAGAAATCCGGGGGTTGATCTGGAAGTGATGGGACATTTTCTTTCTCAAAGTGATTGTAGTTACATACTCCATTTAGATTTATTGAAAACTTTGGCCCTAAATGAAACCAGTCTCTTCTGAGCTGTGATTCCTTTGCCATACCGTAGTCCCTTGGGTTTTGTTTGGGTTTTTTCCCTCTTCATTTCTTATTTGGGATCTTCCATTTAATATGGGTCTTTCAG